CAGTCCCCAGGTGTGGTCAGTCCCCAGGTGTGGGTCAGTCCCCCAGGTGTGGCCAGTCCCCGAGGTCCAGGCCTGTCCCCAGCGCGAACCAGTAACAACTCCCCGAAACCGACGTGTCATCCCGCACCCTGACCCCGACATGCACCTTAAAACAGCAGCAACCACGAGCCTCGCACCCAGGGGTTCAGAGCACCCCCGGCCCCCGCCAGGCCAGCCCCTCCAGGTGAGCTGGCTACCGCCCGACCCCAGGCCGCCTCCACGTGTCCTGTCGGCCCCCCACCGGCCCCGCGAGCCTCACCCCAAAGGAGCTGGCCAGACGTGGAGCTGCCAAGACGTGTCCCGCGGCGGCCCCGTGAGTGCCCGGCACGTGGCCTGCGGCCCTGCATGGACCTCGCCCCGCTCACCTCCTCTCCAGGACTGATGTCCTGAACGGCTCGCACCTCTGCCAGGGTCCCCTTGTAGGTGACGATGACGTTGGGGCAGCAGCTGTGGTTCATCAGGGCAACGCTGCAACCAGAGACCGAGTTGGGGGGTGGGGGGCGGGGCCCCCATGAGCCACTGCCCCCACGCCCACTGCCGCGTGGCCGCCGGGAAGCCACTGTCCATGGCTGTCTCACAGGTAGGCGGGAGAGTGGCCCGGGAGAGGGCTCCAGGCTTCTGATACATGAGGCCTAAGTTTTCCCCCAATTAAAACCGCCTGGGAACTGGGGCCACAGAGACCCTCGTGGGCACATGCCACGGTGGGGACCCTCTGCCTGTTCCAGGAGTGAGGACATGGAGGGGGTGAGCCCCAAGGCTGCTGGGTAGGGGGGCGGCTCCACACAGCCCCCCACGCCGTCCCCGAACGCAAACACTCATGCACCCTCTTGGCTGGGGGTGAGTGACCACACACACTCCATCTTGGCCATGGGCGGTGTCAGCCCAATTCCTGGCAAGTGGACACAGGAAACCAGGTCCAGCAAATCGGACAAGCACCATGCCAAAGGGGTCACCAGCGGAAAAGCAGATTTCCAGAAGCTTCCTGCAGAAGTCACAGGTAGCTCTTTGTCAGAGCCTCCTGGATGTCTTTGCGAAGCCAAGGAGGGCCATCAGCTGGCCCCTCGGTCACGCTGCCCCCCAGAACCTCAGCCCCAGCGCTGACCTCCCCTTTAGCGAATAAGACCCGGGACCCAAAACATCGGCTGAAGGTCTCAAAACCCCCCCCACAGCCGCCACCTCTTCCCAATGGCCACAGGCCACAGCTACACCCCCTTCCTCCGTCTGGGGATGCCTGTGTGGGTGACCCCGTTTGGGCTACAGGGACAGGGGTGTGACGAGTCACTCCGTCTCTCTGGCTCGAGAATGCCAGGGACGCGGCTCGCAGGAGTCCTCACCCCAGCTCTCTCCTGGGTCCTCGGGACCCACAAGTTAAAGGCCGCAGCAGACACCCCAAGCCGTGGCCTCCTGCCTCTGTCTCAGCCTGCAAAGAGGCAGCGAATGGGGGTGGGGGAGCTGGGGTCACCTGACTCTGGGCCAAGCCCTCCCTGGCCACCCGAGCTCCGGGTTCCGTCTGCCCCTGGCCGCCTGCCCGGGGCCAGACGAGCGTCCCCGCGTCGTGAGTGTTCCCGGGCGCTCCATGTGGCAGCTGAACAGACACCCCGAACATCAAAAAGCCCCCCACGGAGCCCCCAGTCAGCCCAGAGGGACAGAGTCAAACTCAGCCTACTCAGGAAATATGGCGGATCCCAAATGAGAAAGTTCTTCGTCTTCAATGGTGAAGCCGTTACAGTTCACCTGCAGCGGGGAGAGAGACGAGCTGAGACCCCCCCGGCAGAAACCCTCTGTCACCTCTTACATCCAGACCCGCCACCCCGCCACCACCCAAGCGCCCTGGGCGGGCCAGCGTGACCCTCGTCCTCCCCACGAGCCCATGTGTGAACAAAGCCTAATATCGGGGGACCCCGGGCTCGTCAGCTGCAGCGGCACCCATGGAGCACAAGGGTGGCCCCCCAAGGGGCTTACGGCCCAGCGGGGGGGGGGCACCCCGCCTTGCCTTTGCCGGTGATTTTTTTTTTAAAGATTTTTAAAAATTTATTGATGCGTACAGAACTGGGGTACAGCCCAGAGGTGCAGGGGCGGCGAGAGGCTTCACCAGAGACAGAGTGGGGAGCAGAACAGGCTGACGGACGAAGCCCACTGCTGAGGGGAGCAGCGGGGAGACGGGACAGGTGTGCTGCGCCCTGGGGGTCCCCTCCGGGGCCGGGGCTCGAACTCGCTCGAGGCGGCCGTGGCCAGCTCGTTTGCAGTGCTGCGCTTTGACCCGCTGTGCCACCAGGGAGGGCCCCGCCAGTGATTTTTTAAAATGGAAGAATTGTGGGTGCCTTGCATTGCTGTCTTCCTGTCAGGATTAATGATACATGTTCACTGCAGGGAATGCAAAAAGTCACGCAACAGGGAAGCAAAACCTTCCCACACACAGCGAGCACCTTCACGCACACACCTGTCCTCACCCAGCTCCTGCGCCTGAGGCTTGACTGTGTCTCTGAAAACGCCTGACGGATTTTTTCCTGTGCAAAAACGCCTTATGACATTCCCGGCACCCCAAGATCCACACAAAGTCCCCCCAGAGGTGTGGGGGCGGTGAGAGGAGTCACCGGAGACAGGGTGGGGAGCAGAACAGGTGGATCCACTGAAATCCACGGCTGAGGGGAGCAGCGGGGAGACGGGGGGGGGTCTGCTGTGCCCTGGGGGTCACCTCCCTGGCTGGGGATCGAACTGGCGCTGCAGCCCCGAGCCTTAACCCCTGAAGGCCCAGGAAGGCCACCACGCTTCCTTTCTTCTTCCTCCTTCTCAAAGAAACCCCCATTAAACAACCTGCATGCTGACCCCTGCCTGAAGCCGGATGACTTCCGGGGACACGGGCGTGGGAGCAGACACGGCGCTCTCCTCCCCGAGACGCCGGCTCAGGAGGTGACGCGCCCCGGGAGTGGCCTTCCTGGGCCTCCTCGATGCTTACCTCCACCAGGTATCCAGGTGTGGGGGACGGGCCGGTGTGGGAGGGAGCGGAGAGCCCCCGGTGCTTCTGTGTGGCCAGCCCGGCTCCCTGCTCCCCACTCTGTCACTGGGGAAGCCTCTCGCCGCCCCTGCACCCCTGGCCTGTGCCCCAGTTCTGTGTGCATCAATAAAAAAATCTTTAAAAAAAAAGTTAGGACCAGGCCGTGGGGGACTAGAAGGAATTTCCGTGTCTGACAACTGTCCCACTGCAGGAAAGGCCCTGAGCCCTCCGCTCGAGCCCGGGGCCTGGGGGGTGTGCAGGACTCGCCGGAGGGTGGCCAGAAGGAAGGCCACGCACGTCCCGCAGGCTTCCTGTGGCCACTCAGCCTCCACCGGCCACTGAGGTCCGACAGATGCCCGGCCCGCCCAGGCCCGGCCTGCTCTGGCCCCGTGAGCCTACCTGGGCAAACAGCACCACCAGGCTCTGGTTGTCCGGGAACTCCAGGTACTTGGAGTAGAAGTGATGGAGGGCAGCAATGTCGCTCTGAATCAAGTCCTTCTTCTCATTGTCCAGTTTGTCCAGATCTGCGGACGACACGTCTCGAGTCACGGGCGGGGAACTCGGCCCCGAGCGTGGCTGTCCGCCGAGGGCCTGGGGCGGGGAGAGCGCGGGTCCAGCCTGAGAGCCTCCCGGGCACGTCCAGTTGCTAAAGCCCAGTCTGGCCAAGGCCCGGGCCGCTCCTCGGCCCTGGGCAGCCGCTCGCGACAGGAAGCGTTCGGGGTGCGGGTGGCCGGTCCCCTAGGTTGGTCCGGAGAGGGCCCCGGAACCTGGTCGAGGCCCCGAGGCCGGCCTGGCTGCGTCCCCAGCAGGGGTGCTGCTGTTGACGTCATGCGGACACGCCCAGCCGGGACCCCCAGAGTGAACAGGCCCCAGGAGCGCCAGACACTCACGTGACTCAAACTCCTGCACGGCCAGCAGTTTCTCGGAAGGCGTCCGCTCCGGGTGGCTCTTCTAGTGACCGGGGAGGAAAGCACACGGACACACCAGCAGCTACTCAGCGTGGGTGTGAAGCTCACGGCTGCCTGCCGCGCCCCGGGAGCCCGGCTGGCCCCTCGGATGCGCCAGGGGGCTCTGCTCCCTGTTGGGGGGGCTGTCCCCCACAGCCTGGACACCTAACCAAAGTGACCGTCCCAGCCAGCCAGGCCCGGCCAGGGTGTCTGCCCGACACCCCAATCCGAGACCCGCTTGCAAAGCTTTTCACTGGGTCTGCCTCACTCTGGCACCCCAATAATACGACGCACACTGTGGGCTCGGAAACACTTGTTACGGGAAGGCCGGCGGCCAGCCAGCAACTTTTTAGGGCCTTTACTTAAAAGGCCCGAGTCTGTGGTGGCACCATCCTATTTATCATTTCTCCTGCTAAAAAGGAACAAAATCGAAGCCCCCATCAATCCCCCACTTTCTTTAAGCACAGGCTAAAATGATCTCCAATTCTGTGTTTCAAAAAGCACACGCTCGGTGGCTCTGTGAGCCCAGATGCACTTGAAATGCGGTGGTGCTTTGGTCCGGACGCCCCAAGAGGACCTAACAATAGTCAGCCCGTCAGGCTTTGAGAACATGAATAAACTCGATGTTGACAGGAGTTGAAACGCGGCGCTCAGGCGCTGGCCCTGGGCCCGTCTTTGTGGTCTGGAGCTTCAATTCGGGGAGCCAGGTGGTCTGTGGGGCCTCTCACCTCCCTAGTTAACATGTTAAGCTTCCCCTGGGTGGTGGGGTGGTTGGTGTCCCCTAATCCTTTGCAAGCCACTCGAATACAAATGGCCTGTTTTTTAATCAGCCAGCCCCACCGAGATGAGACGGTGACCAGGTAGATACTTTTCATGTCGGAGACCATTAAAAGGAGCAGTCATTTTAATAAAAGTTGAATGAAACTGCTATAAACTCACGGCGGCAGCCAGGCGACCCTCTGGGGGTGCCCCAGAACATTGCAACCCTCCTTTGCCAGGCCCCGAATCGCCCATTCCCGGGAGGCGCTCCTCAGATTCCCAGGCATTTTGCCTGGGGAGGCTTTTCCCTCAGCGGAGCTCATCTGTGTGACCCCTCTGGGGTGGGCCCCCCCCAGGTGCCTGTAGGTCTGCTTCCATGTCTGTGTGCCCCCAAACCTCCCTCGGCCACCTCTTCTCCCGCTGCCCTTCCTGCCGGCCACATGCCGACGGACGGATGGACACTGCAGGTATGTACTTAGGGGCAGCCGTCAGCCAGGTTGATTGACAGCCGTCCGCCCCTGGCCGCCCGGGCTGACCAGTGGCACCTTGCAGGCCGCACGGAGCCCAAGGGTGACCTCAGACTCCGCGAATCCCGGGGCCCGGCTGGCCGGGGCGGCATGGGCTCATCGTTACGCTCGCCTTTTGGCTGAGACCAGAAATAGAATGTTTCTCAAGGGGCGGGGAGGTGGTGGGTCTCAGGAAGAGGGGGATGAAATTTCAGCTGGGGAGCGCCAGGCACCGAGGCCCTGCACCGACTTATTATTAGTGGGGCCTTCTGCACAGGCGAGCTCCGGCCCTCCCCGGCGGGGGCCACTCTCTGTGGGGTGCCCTGGGTACCTCCCCTGCTTCTCGGGGGGCCAGAGGCGTGGCTTCCACCCTGCCCCCCGGGGGCCCCCCACCTCTCTCCATTGCTCCTCCCAGTGCCTGTCCTTCCCTGACCACCCTGGGCCGTGTGAGTGACCAGGGCTGGGCTGTCACAGGACAGAGAGCCAGGAGGCGGTTGGTCCGGGGCGCCAGAAACCCCGTCCCGGAGAGCCGGCCCGCCGGCCACACGGCCGTGACTGGACGCGGAGAGCAGACGAGCAAAGGCGGGTCACTCCTCTGCCGGCCTCAGGGGAGGCCCAAGCACGCGCCGAGAACGTGCCTCTTCTTACCTGCTTGGCCAAGATCCTTGCTGTTAGCCTGACGGTCTCCGAGGGGTTCCAGTTTTCCCCGAAAACCACCATGGCAGCACATTCCAGGCGGTGCACGGGCCAGTCTGCCTTCTGGGGGGGCAAACAGATGTGTTTCAACACCCCTGCATCCCTAGCAGGACGTGACTGGGCAACCTTGACTGGGGCCTGCCGAGGGCGTCCAGGCAGGGCATCAGCTCGCTCAGCCTGCCCCCGCATCTCGGGGCTCCGGGACCCCACGTCCGCCCCACCTGCACAGCCCGGCCCTCCAGTGACCTTGCAGAGGGCAGGGGCGCCGGCCTGGCCTGGCTCTGTGCCCCGGCGGGCAGATAACAGAGCTGGTGAGTGGCCCTGAGAGCGGAGCTGGACGAGTCCCAGGGGCGAGCGTGGCCGGGGCAGCATTTAAGGGTCAGATGGCCTAGAGACTCATTTCACTCAACAGGAAGATGACTCCTCCCTGGCCCCTGGGCCCCAGGTGAGGACGGAGGCCCGTGCCGGGGCGGTGTCCCCGAGGCGCCCCACAGATGGGCAGGGGTCACCCGGCAGGACCCCCGGGCCACCTTGCCAGGCTCTCCTGCTGCAACACAAGCCCCCCCTCCGCCCCCCCGGGGCTCAACGCCCCCACACGCGCGCCGCCTGCAGGTCCCCACGCCTTCTGGGGCTCCCCACTGTGCGGGCAGCCCGCCCCAACTCTGCCATCTCCCCACCACACACAGCCCCCCGCCCATCTGCACTTATGGCCGGCCCCTCACCCCTGAGCTCACAGGGGTGAGCGGCCAGCTCTGCTGCTCCCCCCTCTCCCCACAAATAGGGACTCAGTTCTGTTCACATCGGGGTGACCTCGCCTCGGGAAGGGCCTGCATCTCTGGAGCTGTGAGGGGCCCATGGAGCCCTGCACCCACGCTGACCTGACCCCCGGCCACTCCCCAGGGTGCCATGGACACGCGTGTCTCCAGGGAGAAGGGCTCGCGTGGGGGCCGGGGGCCGGGACCTGCTGCGTGTGAGCCCGGGAGAACCCTAATCCTCGCTGGCTGCAAATAACATGATCCGGGTACTTAGTGGCTGCAGCGTGCAGAGCTGCTGATTTTACACCTTCCAGTGATTACAGCCAGAGGCAGCGTGTGAGGTAACTGGCTGCCGTCCGCGGGGATCCTGGAAGCTGAGCCCCAGAACACCACAGCCTGCTGCTCCAGCCCGCAGCGCGTTGGGGTCCTCACCCACACCCCGTTTTTGCACGTGTTCACTCAACAAGCAGTCTGTCGGGGTGCCCCGGGGGGGCGGGGGGTGGCTTGTGTTGCAGCAGGAGAGCCTGGTAAGGTGGCCTGGGGGTTCTGCCGGTGACCCCTGCCCATCTGTGGGTGCCTCTTGCGTGGAGGGGAGAAACGAGACAAGGCAGAGAAGGGTAAGAGTGGAGTTTGCTTGAGGGGTGATTCCTTCTGCAGAGGGCGGGGTCCTTCTGGCTGTCCGATCACCGCTTCCATCGGGGGCCTGACAGTTTGCCCTAATGATGCCCACAGAAATTGCTGCAGTCTGTTTCACCCCGTTCCCTGTGTAGCCCTTGCGACAGAGGAAGCGGGACGGAGGGGTGAGCCCCGACATCACCCCGCGAGTCTCAGCCTCGTGGAGAACCCCGCCCGGCACTGGCCGCGGGCCGCTGAGAGGGGAGCCCTGGGGAAGCCTTTCCAGCGTGAACCCCAGGACGGCGCTCTCCAAACCACTGAATCTAAAACGACATCACTTGCACGCGCTTTCTCCTGCGGCAGTGACCTGTGAGACACTGTCCACAAGGTGGGCAGGCCGACGTCCCACACGGGGACGGCGGGAAGAGATGGCAGGACCTGGGGGTCCCAGGACCGTTGTCTCAGGGAGGCAGAGCGCCAGGCCCTGGGGGCGTGGGGGTGAGCACCCTCACGAGGGACCCCCGGCCAGGACACGCCCCGGCCCAGCAGTGACCGGTGGTGTCCAGCTTGAGGAAGACCAGACACCAGACACACTCCCCGGGTCATCCTGGGGGGCAGCGTGGTCACACGGGGCTCAGCGGTGGGACACAGACCCGCCCCATCGTGCCCGCGTGGACCCCAGCCGGGCCCGAGTGACCAGTGGGAAGTGGCCGTCACACTCCTACACAGCGGCCGTTCGGTCTCAAGCCTCTGGATGTGGGTGCGACTTCGCACCCCGGGGGGGCCTTCACCCTGGCGCCCCAAGCGAGCTTGTTAGCTCCGACCCCCTGAACAGCTGTCCGCAGGGGTGAACGCAGCTGTCCAGGGGCCTGGGGGACAGGGAGAAGCAAGCCGTTTGGGGGGTCTGGTAACAGGAAGACCTAGGAAGGGCACCCATGCTGTGTCCTCATAAACCAGGGTTCCAGGTCCACACATCTTAGAGGTTAAGGGGGGACCAGGGCCCCCTCCTCAAGGAGACACCCCCAGGGCCCAGCTCAGAGGAGAGACTGACGGGGCCACCTCGCCACTGTGGACAGCGGTGGAAACAGGGAAAACAGAGGAAAACGAAATCGTGGGACTCCAGGGGGCCCCCAGGGGGGTGCATGATGGGAGGGACATCCGAAAGGAAGGGGAACGGCAAAATGAGGGACACACAGGCACGGCACTGGTACCCCCACGTCCACGGAAATAAAAGAGAGTGGAAAACGGGGTGCACGGGTCAGTCAAGGGCCGGACGTCTGCCGCGGGATTCCGTGGGGTGCCTCGGAGAACCCCGCCAGCGGCAGTCAGGGACAAGCCCAGAGAATGCCCCTGGGCCCCCCCCACCTCACCAGACCCCCCGCCAAGAGCCAGCTGGGGCTGCATCAGGTCAGTCAGCAGCTCCCGGACGGCAGGGTGGGGGGACATGGCCGGCCGCGGGCGACAGGGGCCAGCCCGAACGGGCATGGAAACTGGCCGGCGAGGGCAGCTCAGACGTGGCTCATCTGTCACCCGCCTGTCTCGTCCACTGCGGCTGGCGGCCTGGGCAGCTGACTGGGCTGATGCCCCATCTGCATCCACCGAGGCCAGCTTCTCGCCTTCCCTGCACCCCCCACCTCATTTTTGGGGCTCACGGCAGACCCCAAACTTGGCTTCCTATCCCCCGCTGCCCGCTTGTCTGGGCCAGCACGCAGGGTGTCC